GGGTCAGATTTAAACCTGGAGACACAAATGACTTTTCCTTATTGAGGACATTAAATCTATTCTTGAACTAGCCTCACCTACATTAAATAAAATATGGGATGTTCCTTTCCCTTATACATACCTGCCCATTGCTCCCTAAATACTTAAAGCAAGAGAGTTCCATAGACTCTGAAGAGGTGGGTAAAATACTAGAACAGGCAAGATAGGAAGGCTGTGTTAAGAGCTCTTTCAGGAGTCTTTTGAAGATTTTTAAGTATTTTGCCAAAAGAATAGTTGCCCTTGCTCCCCCTGATTGCGCAAGTGTAAACACCCTAATGTCCCCTGGGGAAATCCCTGTTTATGGTCTCTATGTCCACTGGTCCAATTGCCTTAACTTCGAGGAGGTGCAAACGTGACCTTTGTCTCCAGTGGGGATCCTGGCCCACCCTGTGCTGCTAGCTGCAGCCCTTCTCCCTTCTCCCTTCTCCCTGTCCCCTGGTCCCGCCCGTCGCCCAGGTCAGCCGCAGCAGTTGAGTTTGCTGGCTTTCGCTCCTGCAAGGGGAACTGGCTCCACCGTGGACTCTGTCCACACCCACAGCTCTGAGAAGGCCCGACCTACGTGTACACAACCTGTCCCTGGTTGGCCTCTCTCCTCGGAAAGCCATTCACTAGCCCCCAGAAGGGCCTGAACGCGTAAAACAAGTGTGGACTCACAAATTGGGGATTTCAAATTGCAACTCTTTCATTTGGGTTAACCTCCCTCTCTTTGCAATGCAGGTGCCTTGCCCTCTCTGTCTCCCTCAGCTTAATGCTCCTGCCTTAAGCCTTCCAGAGCTGCCACACCCCAGCAGGCTTCCTGGTGCTGGGAGTGGGTCTAGAGTAGAATGACAGTGACAAAAACTAAGCTTTATTTTCACTTCTTTCACAACTGTTTCCTGAGCACCTACTAAGTACCAGTCACTGTTCTAGATACCGGGGTCAGTGGACAAGAAGACAGTAAAGTCTCTGTCCTCATGGAACTTATATTTAGGAAGGGGAGAAAGAATAAACAAACATTTAGTGCACTTTCAGGTAGTGATATGTGCCATTAAAACACACACACACACCAGGGCCAGGGGAGCATGAATTATGGGAGATGCTACTTTAGATTGGGTGACCAGGGGAGACTTCTCTGTGGAAGTGACTCTCAGGCAGGCACCTCAGCAAAGAGGGAGGAAGCACCATGGGAATAATGGTGGTAAGGATCCCAGACAGAGGGCACAGCATTACCTTGAGGGAAGGTGAGCTGGGCATGTTTGAGGAATGTCAAGGAGACCCCATTTTTTTCTGTCATATTGTAATGAGTACTTTTCAATTTTAATTGTGATAAAATATACTTAACATAAAGTTTGCCATTTTAGCCATTTTAAAGTATATAATTCAGCTGCATTAAGTATCTGCAACCATGACCACCATCTACCTTCTGCACTTTTTTCATCTTCCCAAACTGAAACTATGCACTCATTCAACAGTACCTCCCCATTCCTCTCTTCCCCCAGTCCCTGGCCACCATTATTGCACTTTATGAGCGATGAGCACTTTAAATGCATCGCCTCATTTAATTTCCAAAACAACTGTAGGCTGGCCATAGGTTTTACTGCCATGCCCGTTCTACAGATGGAGAAGCTCTGAGTGAGCTGGCTGAGATCATACAGCTACTACTTGGAAGAGGCAGACCTTAAATGGTTTTCCTGGCTCAGGCTCATATTCTTAACCCCTGACCAGGTAGGGGTGAAGGATGCCACTTCGCTGCCCCTCTAAGAGTCCTGAGGTGGCCCAGGAAGGTTTATCAAGAGTTAGAGACAATGTGAGAAGCTTTCTTTGCTAGAGTAGGAAGGGTGTGTGGCACCCAACTGGTTCCGTCTGGAAGGAAGGGGTTGCTGCCCAGAGATGGGTGTTGGGGGTAGAGATAGCAGGTTCCTGGTTTGAGTGCTGTGGGTTTTGGGGCCAGGGAATCCTCTCCCTTACCACTTAGAGATTGAGAACTCTCTAATTTTGTCTCCTTGTCTGTTTCCTCCCTTGCAAACATAATCATGTTGACTTTCAGGAATGGTGAGAAAATCAAATGAGAAGGCATATACCATGTAAGTCAGTGTCTGGTACATAGAAGGTGCTCAACGAATGTTCACTCCTTGCCTTGGCAGCCCGAAGTTTCACCCAGAGGCTAGGAACCAGCCTCTTTCCTCTTAAATGCACTGTATGCATGTAACTTGAATTCGAGAATGCTCACGAAGTATTCTTCGTCTTATTTTGCAGACGAAGAAACCGAGGCGCAGGGAAGTTGCCCACAGCTGAATGGCAGAGCCAGGATTTAAACCAGAGAGCAGGCAGCAGAGCCCACTCAAGCAAAGACCAATCACACTGTGGAAACCGCTATTGCTCCCCAGCCCCCACTGGATGGCCAGTTGGGGCAAGGCAGGGGACCACCCCCAACCCAGCTTCCCTCCACTCTGCCAGGCTGGACCTGTCCTCTGAGGGGGCGTGAGGGCAGCTTATTGGGTCCTCAGAGGGACTGCCTCATGCAGCCCCAACCTCCGGCCCGTCTCGGTGCCTGGCAGTGAGAGCAGCGCCTGGCAGCGGGGGATTAGGGTGCTGCCTCGTCTTTTCGTCGCCTGGGGTTTGGCTGCGCCAGGGGACAGCCCACCTCCTTCCCCACAAATCCGCTCCCAGGGACCGCCAGCTAGACCCTGCCCCGAGTTTGCCATAGGCACAGAGCGGCCCCAGGAGCGCCCTGGAATGTGTCCTGCAGTCATAGCCTGAGATGATTGAGCCCTGCTGACCCAGAGCTGCAAGGGAGGGGGCCCGGGCAAGCAGCCCCTGCCCCTTAGGAGAAGGAGCTTCGGGCTGCGGGAAGTGTGGGGCACCGCCTTGGGGGAGGGGTGCCCCGACCCGGCAGCCTTTGTTGCGGCCACGGTGCTCACGTGCGCAGGCGCCCACAAGTTGAAGAAAGTTGGAGCTGATGGCCAGGTAGCCCTGCGCCACGTGCGCCCAGTTGGTGGGGATCCCTCCTTCTGTCCAGGTTGTTTAGGGTGGGTGTTCTGGGCGGCTGGGCAGGGGAAAGTGAGAAAAACTCATCCTGAAACACACAGAGGAGAATAGACAAAAGGAAACACACGCAAAGAAACATACAGAGAAAGACAGCAAAAGCTCAGGAAGCTCATACAGAGAAACACACGCAAATGCACGAGGAGAGGAAACAAAGCGGGTGGTCTTGGAGGCCATGGGGAGGGGGAGGGGAAAGGAAATTCTGAGAAGCGGCAGAGACTGAGGGAGGGGAGAAGCCGCGGGAGTGGAGACGGAAAAGGGAAAATGGAGACAGAAGTGAGAGGAGGAAAGGAAAAGGGCTGGAGGAGGTAGTGCTTTAAAAGAGACAGTTAAACACATTTAGAGAAAATGAGGCAGACCCGAGGATTAGCCCCGCTGCTCCCAACATACCGAAGGGGAGATAGAGAGATGGCAGAAAGCCCAGCCTTCTCACCCCTGTGGGCAAGGGAGCTCCAGGTGGGAAACAGCTCCGTGAGGACTCTGAGAAAGGTGCCCTTGGCACTATGAGCCAGCCAAGTCTCCACCTGGTCCACCTGGCAAAGTCCTCCTCATCCTTCAAACCCAGCCCCAGCATCACCTGCACCGTGAAGAAGGCTTTCCCAGCCAAAGCCATGCAAGCACAGTTACTCTCTTTTCTGTGTATTTCTGCATGTGGCACAGGCACTTGGGGTCCGTTGTCTTATTTCTCTCCAACTTCCAGAATCCAGCCCAGTGCTCACTGCACAGTAGATGGTCAGCAAATACTTCTTGAAGGACAACTAGGACCATTTGGTCTAAGACCTTCATGATTTTCAACTGATGTACTGAAAGAATTCTTAAAACATGCAATACCTTACTATTTAGTCAGAGGCAATGATTCCCTTAGATTGTCAAATTTAAAAAAATGACAACACACAACAAAACCATAGCTATCTGATGTGAATTAATCAAAATATTACCCATTTTTGTTACATCAGCGAAAAAATCTATTTTTGTAGTGTATGACAGAATTTAAGTAATTAGTTTATGTATGTCATGAGATGAAAAAGGTTGAAAATGCCTCCTCTAAGACATGGAATATAGAATTAAATCCAAATAGAGGAGTCACGGAGACTCTGTCAAAGCACCCTTTTTTGCAAGTGGAGAAGTTAAAACCCAGAGAAGGGAGGAGACTTGCTAAAAGGGACACAAGCAGGAAGCCTGCAATGAAAGAACATTGTGAAGGGGGAAAAATTGAGACAACTGTAATAGAATAAACATAATTTTTAAAAAAAGAATGAACATTGTGAATACATCCTTCTCTGAGATGCCTTTGTTCCTCCAGCCTGTGAGGTTAGAATAGGTGTGGAAGAACCTTCTGATAAAAACAATCAACGGAGTACAAACCATTTAATTCCAGTCATTAAGTTTCCAACACTGACTAAGGCTGCTTCCTGACTAGGTGAACTTGGACAAATTTCTTAACACCCCTGAACCTCAGGTTTCTCAACAATAAGATGGGGATACCACATACCTGCCTCATAGGATCGTTAGAAGAGTTACCACCAAGAGCCTGGCACGGAGGAGACCCTCAAACACAGTCCCGCCCTTCTCCCTGGGAGGGGGTGCTCTTTCCTGCACTTGTGAAGGTGAAGGCCGCAGTGCTAGTGAAAACGTTTCCTTTTGTCTCAGGACAAAAGTCCATGTTGGTCCAACTGGGGAACAAACTCTTTTAATAAAAGAAAAGCAAATTTGGGGCAGGTCCTACAATGCATGTTGATTCTGTTTAGGTGTTCAAGTCTCTGCAGGTGACTTGGGGCAACCTAACTTCCTCTCCTAACCCCCGCCTCCCCCAGCAGGTAAGACCCCACTGTGCCGCTCCATTCTGCAGCCTTTTTACCAGGTCTGCGCTGGGCTGTGTCTTTCAAGCTTCAGCTGGTGCAGGGGATGTGACCGGGACCAAGGGAGCCGCGAGCAGCATGGAGACCGTGGTCATTGTTGCCATAGGTGTGCTGGCCACCATCTTTCTGGCTTCGTTTGCAGCCTTGGTGGTGGTTGGCCAGCCATAGCGCTACCTGTAAAGTGCTACAGCCAGCCATGGGACCTCCTGCAGCTCTATGATTCCAAGTGAATGCACCCAGGCAAGGTGGGGGGCGTTAGGGAGGGGAGGAGAGAGGGGCTGTGCCCTGAGGCTCCAAGGAGAGAAAAGGAAGTTTGGTGTTGGGCAACTGGCTCAGCTTTTTGTCTCTAAGATGATACCTTAAGGCTCTCCTTCCTAATAAAGATTTTAGAGCTTCAGGATGTTCCTTAAGCCCCTCAACATACTGAGCTACCTCTGACTATGTCACTGAACTAATGAGAAAGTGAGTCAACATGTTCACCTAGCATAGACTTTTGGTCATCTATCCAAAACTGGCCACTTCACTTAGCACTTGGACAAGCCAAACTCTTCCCAGCCAAACTCATAGGAACAGAAATCTGATGCCCGAACTCCAGCCACACATCTAAGCAGCACTCACTGTTGTGAGATCTCAGTGTAGGACTGTCTCTCTCTTCACTCAGATTTCTTCATGACGCACTTTATGTGAAATACATTTTGTAAGCAAGGTTCTACTTTCAGCTGAGCGATGTTTTCATTGATAGATCCTTAAGGCGCCGTGCCCAGTAACCCTTAGTTTCTCTTACTCTTCAACCTGAAACCTACCAGCATCTCTGTCAAGTGGTTGATGATTAGTTTTTAGGCCCATTTTTATGTCCAGTAAAGCTGTTATTGAAAAGAAGGCTCTGTATAGCAGGTGGTGTTACTTCTCCAGTATTACTAGGAGGGGGTAGGGTTACGTGGGTGGACCAAGGTGGGTCCGAGAGTGACTCTGCAGACTAAATTGGGGGTGCGGGTAGGATGGGCATTAGGATCTTCGGCTTCTCAGGAAAAGGTAGGGCTGAAGGGAAAATAAGTTGCAAAAGGTTGTGACTTTGTCCTGAAGGAGGAGCCCTAACACATCGATGTGATGATTGTGGTTGCAGCCCTGCTCCTTTTCTTAGTGGCTCGTCTCATTCTCCGTCACCTTGTTGTTGTGTTTGTGCCCCTCTTGCCTTAGGATTCACTGTCTAGCCATGTGTCCTGCCTGTAACTGCAGTTCCACAGGGTTAGCTTTGGATCCAGGACAAGAGGGCCCTGCTTTAACATATTCACCGCCATCATCCTTTTGGGGGCTACGTGGGCCTCCAGGAGGCATGGGCAGCAGTTGTCCCTCATGTAATTGCTTCCCTGGGCTCTTCCTTCCAGGCCCATCGTGGATCTCATCGAAGCCATGGAGACCCAGTCCGAGCTGTCTGAGGTGGCCCTCTAAACATGAGCACTGACACATTCTTCTCGTCTCCTCAGGGGTCTCATGTCCCACTGCATTGCCATCTTGAGGGTAATACTCTTTGACTACCCCAGAAGATAAAGAAGGGTGGTCACCAAGCACCCCTGTGCACAGTTTGTTAGAATGTAAGGGGCCTTAGGGTTGGCATGGAGCCATTGCAGGAGGTCTTTCTGAACATGCCTGAAACTTGGAGTTTCTCCTGTTTACTCCTACATGGACAGTCTGTTATACATTAGAATTCCTGACGCCCTTTCAAAGGCTTTATTTCACCTGGTCCTCGCAACCAAGTGACCTGTGGGAAAGACCACATGGGTGGTCACAAGCCACTTTTTCACCTACGGTGGAGATAGCTGTGTGCCTGAGACTATAGAGCTGCTGAGGGAAAATGAGACTTTCCTCCTTCTCCTTGGGCGCTTTCCTTCATTAAGCTCAGCCCTCTACAGAGACTTGAGCTCATATATGGACTTCTCCAATTACTAGAACGTCCTTTACTAGCCCTCGTTGGCTTTGACAGTAGTCAGCCAAATGGGATAATCAGTGTTAAAGAATCCAAAACATTAGTACTTCAGCTTGAAAACAGATTTTTTTCCTTTATTTTATATTTTTATTTTTTCTATTACCCTTTATTCCTCCTATACCCTCTTCTACCTCCACCCACCATCCTCTCCCCTGCAATTACCACACTGTTGTCCATGTCCATGAATTCCTTTTTTCTTTCTTTTATACTTGATCCCTCTATCCCCCTAATCCTGCCCCCAGCCTGAGCTGTCAGCCTGCTCTCTATGAGTTTTTTTTCTATTTTGCTTGTTAGTTCACTTTGTTCATTATATTCCACATATGAGTGAAATCATATGGTACTAGTCTTTTTCTGACTGGCTTATTTCACTTAGCATAATACTCTCAGGTCCATCCATGCTACAGAAAAAGGTAAGATTTCCTTCTTTTTTACTGCTGAGTAGTATTCCATTGTATAAACATACCACAGCTTTTTTATCCACTCATCTACTGATGGGCACTTGGGCTGCTTCCAAATCGAGCCTCTTGTAAATAAAGCTGCAATGGACATAGGGGTGCAATATTATTTTGAATTGGTGTTTCCGGTTTCTTTGGTTAAATTTCCAGAAGTGGAATCACTAGATCACAAGGCAGTTCCATTTTTAATTTTTTTTTTTTTTTGAGGAAACTCCATACTGCTTTTCACAGTGGCTGCACCAATCTGCATTCCCTGACCTTGATATGAGAGGTTTCTACCCCACCCTCCTCACCCAGCCATGTTTTTAGTGTTTGGCTCTCCCACTTCATTTCTGTGTATTTTGCACTTCAATTTGCCCATTTGGTTAGGGAGCTGAGCTGTGGGATCTGACTTACCCCCACATCACGTCTTTCCTCCTTGCTGTCTTAGATCTGTCACACTTTGACAGAAAAACTTGTTGCCATGACGATGGGCTCAGGGGCCAAGATGAAGAATTCAGCCAGTGTCAGTGACATCATCGTGGTGGCCAAGAGGATCAGCCCCAGGTGAGCAGGCAGGGCCTTAAGTCCCCACACGTCATGGGTAGGGGGACTGTAAGCTGAGGTGGCTTCAGGGCCTGGCTCTCCCAGGAACCCACACAGGCACCTTCAGTTCTTTATGTCCTAGTCACTCACAGAGCATCCAGGAGGGTTCAGGTGTTGGGAGGCTTTCAAGCTGAGATGTTCTCACACAGCTGCCCACCTCCAGAAGGCTTTTTGGGAAACTGCAGCATCTTACCAGTGCTGACTCTTCTTCTCCGCAGGTCCCGCTGTGGTTGGCCCCCCTTTCTCAGGCCTTACCAGCTGGGGCTGCTTTCCTCCCCGTTGCCACTCCTTTCTGCCGGGCTCTGCGCCAGAAAGCACATTTCCCACAGGGGCCCACACCCCCAACTGCAATGACCTCCTGGTCATGTCCCATGTCCTGTCCCCCACCCATACCCGTGCTGGAGACGAATTTGGGGGTGGCTGTCATCCTCTGCCTCATCCATGGCCCGGCCCGCAGCCTCCAGGACTGGGTGGGAGGTGAAGCCATACATCACTCAGATCTCCCAAATTCCAGGCATCAGCGAAATCCCTTGTGGGAGGCAACCAGCAGATTGCAGTCAAGAGCTACACCCCCTCCTGCGGGCTCAATTTGGTGAAGAAAAATAAAGCCCCTTTCTTAGAGGGCAGGGCTGTGCTAAGTTTGTGCTGCCATCTGGTGGCTGGTATGTGGATATTCTTGAGTGGGGTGTTGTCTTTGTTCAGGAAGATTTCTCAATCAGCCACATGGCCTTGTCACTGGGAAGGTGCCTCCATATCCCTCATGGCAATGGTGGTACCCCCTGAGTTCCAAGATCCCTTGCTTTCCTGGTTGCCATGGCCTTGGGTGAATCACAAGAAACCAGCCCTCTGTGTGAATATGAAAGAGTTGGTGCACATGATCTCTGTCCATGGACTTCAGTGAGTTGACAAAGTGGGAGGGACTGAGCCCAGTACAGTTCTTGGCTTTCTGTGAAGTTCTCCCTGGTTGGGTGTGGTTACATTGTTATCTGTAGAACATGAGTTCTTGTGGTATTGCAAGGGAAAGAATTTCCTGAGACCCATACAAGAAGATGGGCTTGGTGGTAAACTTTACTGATGACGTAAAAATAAGGGGGTTCCCCTCCTGAGTTTCCAATGTCCCATCTCTGTCCATTGCACCATGGGAAAGGTCCAATCTTGTCTTCAGTAGGGCCAAGATGAAGACCACTGCCCAGAGTTTATGTTCCCTATCAAAATACAGTCCAGCCAAGCATCCAGCTAGCTTAGAGTATGTTTCCAGCTGTAGTCCATTGCTGTGTTACTTTGAGCCTGCATGTAAAGTATCCATGGTCATGGGCCATAGAGCTTCTAGGGCCACATGCAATGGAGAGAACAGGTGAGTGCACCACAATGACCTGGGCAAGAAAGAGAGAGAGATAGAGAGAGGGGCCATGTGCTACTTAGCTCCCCTAGAAATATATTAGCTTGGGCTTGAAAAAGATCAGGTGATTTTTTTAAAAAAAACCTAACGAACTTCCCAACTTTTTACAAGCTTTTGATAGGTTTACTCCCTAGTTAGACTGACAGGCCACTTTAGTCAAGCATCTCCCCTAGTGCACACCAACCATCAAGTAGCAGGGTCGAGAAAGGAGTACTGTTAGTCCCCTTGGCAGAGCAATGCTGAAACCCCCTGGGGTGGGAGGCTGTAGCTTCTGATGGAGTAAACAGGTGCATTCTCCCCATTTTATTAAACTCAATGTCTAACTCCCTTTGCTCCCCTTTCTCATCAATAATTAGCTAAGTACCAAAGTAACAACATGGCTTACATTAGAGTATGTTGTCCCCTGACTCGAAGACCCTCTAACACAGACTCTGGGCAAGCAACTGACTGTTCTCTGGCCACTCATTATTTATAGAGATTCTGCAATGTTCATTCCGGCTGGACCTTCCTTAAGCTTCCTGTCACTCCTAAGAGACACCCAGTGGGCCAGACAAATTCATGATACCAGTTATAGGGCAGCATTGCCAGGAGGGGTTAGAGGAGGAAAGACACTGAGATTTCTGAGGATGTGTGAAGTCCTGGGTGATCAGGTTAGCAGTGGAGCTAGAGTGTGGGGGTGGGCTTGACATGGTGCTCATTGGTCCATCCTGCAGAGCACTTGGGATACAACCAGAATGTTCCCTACCGTAATTCAATCAGCGTCCTTGCTTTGGCTTTTTGTCCTCACATTTCTTTCTCCTTCTGGCTGATTCTGTCCCATTGATATTCTTGTTCCATTTATTCCACATGGTGTGTTGGTAGCATGTTAGTTTCAAGGACAATGGCTTCAGCTCTGGACACTGTGGAGAAAGGGGACGGCTAAGCAGAGGCCACGAGTGACCATGTTACTGCACTTCTGCATTTTCTCACCAGCTCCTCAGCCCCAAGACAAGAACGTTTAGAAATAAAATAGTACATTATTATTTTTTTCTTCCTGGTTATCAAGTGGTCCGAGATCAAAAATCTGGAGTGAGACCTTGTGCTATGCAAATCAGAATGAACATTTTGTTCCTTTCTGAACTAGATTTTAAAAAAATTAACCATAAACTATACCATATGTTTTTAAAAATACAATGGAACAGTTTGCACCCAAATTAAACTTGGGTTTTTTTTCGTATTATATATAACTTTTAATTATGGTTTCTTTAAAACACAAAAATATAAATAACTGTAAAAATTAAAACACTGTAGATTTGATCATGTTGAAAGTGAAGTATCCCCTAATTCTGCTCCCTCCCAATTGGTGGAGCTGACTGCTATTGAATAGTGAGTGTTTCTCCAGACTTTTCTTTTCTACATTTCACAGTTTTTGTTTATTTTTACACAAATGGGATTAAACCTTATATTTTATTTGGCAGTTTGTCTTTTTAATTAATAGTGTATTTTGAACATTATCCCAGATGTTTGAATATGTACTTTTTTTTAACTATTGGAACTATAACCAAAGCAGCAAACAAAATACTCTCTAAACTGAACCTGAGGTCTTCCAAAGTCTCTGTTGAAGAATATAGAAGCAGTTAGAGAAAGAACCACAGAGGATGTGGGCTTGAATATCAAAAGAGAAGAACTAGGCCAAAGAAAGGTAGAAAGGAAGGAGGGATAAAGGAGATACGCAGAGTGAAATACTGAATACCCTTTGCCTCCCTCAGAGTGGATGATGTTGTGAAGTCGATGTTCCCTCCACTGGACCCGAAGCTCCTGGATGCACGGTGAGTGGTGGTTTTCTCCATGCTGCGGCCTCACCGGTTGTTTGGGTGGTTGAGGAGAAGGCTGTTCTGCTGGATTCCTGAGCTGTCCTAGGCCTTGGGTGCCATTCAGTGCAGTGTGAATGTCCGGCCAGCCAGTGAGCCCAGCCTGGCTCGGGGGTAGAGGCCACTTTTCATCCTGAAACCCTGGAGATGGAAGAGCCAGTTTAGATCTTCAAATTTTATGATTACACGTCCGGCCCCACTGAATCCTGTCAGCACTTTCCCCTCCCTTCCATGTCCCCATCGCGCGCTCTCTGCTCTGTGGACCCTGGAAGAAAACACGCCTGAGCTGTGAGTGCCGCCCAAGGGGTCAGCGGGGCACGTGGTGAGCAGGGCGATGAGAACGGAATACCCAGGAACCCCTCGCCTGTGATCCTCCCCGATACACAGAACATACTTAGCGCCTGAAATGCTGTCTTTCTGTACCAGATGTAAGCCTATTATAGAGACAGATTCTCTGTCTCTCAGATTTCTGTGACTGTTTCATAGACCTGTGGTGTAACGCCTGCCAGCTGGGCAGTGGGTCCCTGTGCGGCAGCTGTGTCTGTGGGCTGTGCTCTGTAATACATTCCCAAGGGCATTCTGCACACTCACTGTGTAAAAGATATTCTGTAGTGAATCTTTCAATACAGGTAAAAAAAAAAATACTCCCCCTCAATTGGGTTTTCTATAAATTTTTTTCTTTTAGAGAAGGGTAAACCTGCCCTGGGCTTTATTGACTCAGAATGAATAAGTGGGGATATGTGCTCATGCAATTGACTAGATCCAAATTATCCCATAAAATCCTCTTCTGGAAGCGGGTGCCACAGACTTAAATAAGCTGATGAGACACAGCATATTAATTTCTCCCTGTAGGGCTTTATTATGCACGCTGTAGGCTCTGAGAAGGGCTTTAGTTCACCTTATTTAAACTCGCCATTCCCAAATTCGTTTGAGCATGGGACCATCTTTGAAGTACATACTCAACAACCTCCTGGGGAAAGGACTTCAGTTTGGGGAACAGATTTTAGACCATCTGGGCTTTGGTACAAAGTCCCTTCTTTCCTAGGGAATCTGATTCTGCTGGCTTTCTTCTAGGACAACTGCCCTGCTCCTGTCTGTCAGTCATCTGGTGCTGGTGACCAGGAATGCCTGCCACCTGACCGGGGGCCTGGACTGGATCGACCAGTCTCTGTCAGCTGCGGAGGAGCACTTGGAAGTCCTTCGAGAAGCGGCCCTGGCTTCTGAGCCAGATAAGGGCCTCCCGGGCCCCGAAGGCTTCCTGCAGGAGCAGTCGGCCATTTAGAGCCTGCTGGCCAGCAGCTGACCACAAGGGCCAGCCTGCCGCCGTCTGTGGGTGGCGCAGCTGGGCCTCCTCCTTTCTGTATTTAGTTGCTCTACACGGTTTGGGAGCGCGCTGTGCGGAGCAGAGCGGGAGAGCCTGTGAGTGGAGGCCTCTGCTGCAGTTGCGATGCTGGCTGGTGAGTGGCAGTGTAACACCACAGTTAGGGGAGACGTCACCCTCTGTGCGCCAGACCTTTGAGGCCTGATGGACTCTAATCTTCGTTTGGCTCACCGAGTGCTTTCAGGAAAGTGGAGCCACCGTCTAAGAATCGGGAGGTTTCACATGACAATCAGCCTGTCTGGCTTTCTGGAACAATCAGAAGGTGAGGCAACTCTGATCCGCACTTTCAAAAGAGGACAATCAATTGGAACTAAGTAGGAGTCGCCTCCTCTAACAAGGCTTGTACTCTCTCACCTGGCCCGTTTCATGTACTCGTGTTATCTGCCTGGTCCCTGAGGCATCGGAGCCCCTCACAGGTGTGGGTTTGAAGGTGCGCACTGCAGTTGATTATTCCCTTTTCATCATTACGCCTGCATTTTACCTGCTGCCTCTAGGTGGATAGTAAATGTATACTTAGGTTTCCCTCAAGCGTGTGGTTACTGAGTCAAATTCAGATGTGTGTGGGACACATTTGTCTGAGAACTGAGGGTGGAAGGAGAGGGCCTGGGAATCCTCACAGTGCACGTGGCTCAAAGTGAAAAATTTAAAAGATTCCTGAGTTCAGGCAGAGTGGAAGATATCACCATATAATAGTTTTTCCATTTTCTTATTTTTTATTTTTCAATTACAGTTGGCATACAATATTAAATAGTTGCAAGTATATACCATAGTGATTAGACATTATATAATTTACTAATTGGTCATCCTAATAAAACTTGTACCTGCCTGACATCACATATAATTATTAGAATATTATTGTCTATATTCCTTATGTCATACTTTACATTCCTGTGGCTATTCTCTACCTACCAATTGGTACTTCTTAATCCCTTTACCTTTTTCACCACCCCAACCCCCTTACCATATGCCAAGCATCAGAATGGTCTCTGTATCTGTACATGTTCTGTTGAATCTGTATATGTTCTGTTCATTAGTGCTTTTTAAAAAAAATTCAGTTGTTGATAAACATGTATTACTTGTCATTTTATTGCTCATAATTTTGATCTTTTTTCTTCTTCCTCTTAAGACTCTTTAACATTTTATGTAATACTGGTTTGGTGGTGATGAATTTCTTTAGCTCTTTCTTGTCTGGGAAGCTCTTTATATGTCCTTCTATTCTAAATGATAGATTTGCTGGGTAGAGTAATGTCGGTGACTTTCATCACTTTGAATATTTGTTCCCAGCCCTTCGGGCCTGCAAAGTTCTGCTCAGAAATCAGGGGACAGTATTATGGGAGCTCCTTTGTAGATAACTGCATTTTTCTCGCTGCTTTTAAGATTCTCCCTTTGTCTTTAACCTTTTGCATTTTAATTATGGTGTGTCTTGGTGTAGGCCTCTTTGGGTTCATCTTGTTTGAGACTCTCTGCACTTTCTGTACTTGTACATCTATTTCCTTCTCCAAGTTTTATGTCATTATTTTTTCAAATAGGTTTCAATTTCTTCCTCTTTCCCTCTGGCACCCCAGCGTGTGAATACTGGTACACCTGAAGTTGTCCCAGAGGCTCCTTATACTAACTTCATTTTTTTAAATTCTTTTTTCTTTTTGCTGCTCTGATTGGGTGTTTTTTTGCTTCCTTATATTCCAAATCATTGATTTGATTCTCAAACTCATCTACTCTGTTGATTCACTGTAAACTATTCTTCATTTCAGTTACTGTATCCTTCATTTCTGACTGGTCTTTTTTATGGTTTCCATGTTCTTTTCTGTGCTGTTCAAGTTCTAAGTTCATCTACTCTTCCCCTAAGTTTACTGTGCATCCTTATTATAACCAGTGTTTTGAACTCTCCATCTAGTAGATTGCCTGTCTCCTTTTTGTTTAATTCTTTTTTCTGAAGTTCTATTCTTTCATTTGGGACATGTTTCTTTGTCTCCTTCTTTTGGCTACCTCCCTATGTTTGTTTCTATATATCAGGTCGAGCTGCCGTGTCTCCTGGGCTTGGCAGAGTGGCCTTATATTGTAGGCGTTCTGTGAGGGCAAGTGGCAAAGCCTCCCTGATCATCCAAGCTGGGCATTCCAGGTGTACCCCCAATGTGGATTGTGTACACCCTTGTCTGGTAGTTGAGCTTTGCTGTTGGCATGTCAACGGGAGGGATTTACCTTCAGACTGACTGGATGCGAGGACAGGCTGTGACTACCAACCACTGTGGAGGATCAGCTATACAGAGGCCCACCCATCAGAATAGGACTTACTTCAGCAGGACCCTGGTGCCTGCTGAGTCTACCCCTTGAATGTATTGGTGTGGAGATGGTTAGGTGGTGCTTTGATGTGGCCTGAAGCTACCTACCGGGTTGCTGACCCTGGGCCCTTCTGAGAGGTTCAGGCCAAGGTCAGCTACTGTCTTTGTTCTGCCCAGGGCCACCTGGTATGAGCTACATAGCGATCTGCAGATTGCTGCTACTTGTGCTGGGCTTGGAGGTGCCCAGGGGAGGCCAAGCTATGAGCAAAGGCTGGCTGCTGATAGTGCTTGGCCTTGGGTCACTTAGTGAGTGGTACAGGGCATACCACAGCCAGATGCTGCTTATTTGGGAGATTTTAGGAAAGTGTGAAGCATGAGCCAAGACAGGCCATTAGTATGGGAAAGACACTGGAAACAGCTTGAATGAGCCTACAAGTTGGGGGGGCAAGGTCTCAGGGCATCACCAGGGTGGGATGAATAGTGATAGCCAGGTATATGGAGACTCACATATGGCACCTACCTGTTGGTGCTATGGGTGGGTAGGTGGGGGATGTGTGTCAGAAAAGGGATGAGGGCCTCTGCCAGCACTTTTGTGTGACAGAAAGCTGTATCCCCCTCCAGCTCTTGCCTTGACACCAGACAATTCACTTCCTTCCTGTATGTCTCAGGTTCCTTTCAAGGTACTGCCCCAGGGCTAGAGTCCACAGGGAGTGAGTTCAGGTAAGTTCATGCACCGGCCTTTTGAAGAGGAATGCCTGGGACTCCACCAGCCCTCTGTTTCCCACAGTCACAATCCCTGCTGGGTTTTACAGACAGGATTTATGGGGACTTCTCTTCCTGGCACTGGGACCACGGGCTGGAGTACCTGGTGTTTAGCTTGGACCCCTAGTTCCTCAGGGGGCACCTCTGCAGCTGAGATATCCTCCCAATTTTCACTGGCCACACGTGGGTGTGTGACAAGCCTGTTCCACATCTCTACCCCTCCTACCAGTCTAAATGTGGCTTCTTCTTTAAATTCCTAATTGTAGGACTTCCATTCAGTTAGATTTCAGAAGGTTCTGAATGATGGTTGTTCTGTAGTTTAGTTATAATTCTGATGTAGTTGTGGGAGGATTTCAGTACTGCATTTACCTATGTCACCTTCTAGACCGGAAGTCTAAGACTTCTCATTTGGTTCTTTGAATGGCTTTTAGTGATTTCTGCATCAGTCCTTCAACTTTATCATTTCTTTCTCTGCTCTTCTTCATCTACTTCTGCAAGTGGGATTTTGCTCCTTACAACTTTTGGCTTGATTTTGTCTTGCTTTTCTCACATTGTCTTTCCAGATAAGCCTCATTTGGCTTATGAAGAGTGAACCTGACTTCCTTTCCCTTGACCACCATTGTTGGTGGACTGGTAATTTCCTCCTGACCTGATGAAACTATGTGTACTCCCATGTCCTCTCCTGGGAGGAAACATCTTGCACCCACCTTGTTGGAGTCCATGGGCTCCTTAAAAATACCTGTTTTGAAATTAGGTAAACGAGACTCAGCAAGGAGGAAACTGAGACTAAGAAGGGGAAGAAACTGTCCAAGCTCATGCAGCTAGTAAGGAAAGACCTGGGAAGAGGATGCATGTCAAGGACTTCCCTTGCTTGCCCAGTGCTCCACCCTGACAGTTGGGCAGTGGGCCCATACAAGGGTGAGCTCTGAATATTGCTCTCAGTAAGTGACCATAAAACCCCTCTTGGTGTGAGCCTATGACACTGGCCTACTGGTCTCTTGGGTTAATGTTCCAGAATGGCAGATGAATCACCATGTCTGTATTTATGTCAGCACAGGGACTCTAAGAACAAGATTCAGCAACAAGTTCCCTTGTACACTGGACACAAGTGTGCCATATTTTCCCGGTGATTCTCTGGTTTGGACGTGCCTTTAGTCTAGCAACTGTGTTCTACTTGGATGAGAAGTTTGGCTAAGAGGACAAACTCTATTATTCCATTCAATTTCAACTTTGTGCTTCCTGTACAGGTTGGATTGGGTGATGTGTGTGTGTGTGTGTGTGTGTGTGTGTGTGTGTGTGTCTGTGTCCATGTTCAAGGCTGGGGGTTTGTTAATACTTAGACTAAAAGGAGAACTGTGTTGTTGGGAAAGAGGCAACATATCTATTAGCTTTCTTTTGAAATTCCATTCACACTTTCTCTTCGTATGATGGAGGCATGTAAGAGTATGTATAGTATCTCTCTCTATTCCCCTCTCTTGCTCTGCTCAGGAGGATAATGTCTAAACTGGCTGCACAGAGGCTGATATTCACTGGGTCATCTTTCAATAGTGGAAGGGGCTACAGTTGCTCAGAATCGGGAACCAGGTCAGCCACTTCCTCTCTGACTTCGACCCTCTTCAGGGAGCTCTCCTTCTCTTCCTGTCTCAGTGTGGAGCTCATTTGGTCCAGGCTTGGCTACCTTCTAGAAGGCTTGCATCCTTGTCTGTATAGTGGAGCTAAGTTTCCTCTGTTGGTGAGCTTTGTAGTCACATCTCTGCAGGCAAACTTTGGCTGTGTGTGAGGGGATACATTCTAATATCTAGATTTTGGAGTTAGGAAGTCCCACTTGCATTGTTGACACTGATCTGAATTCTCCAACACAGATTACAGGCAAGCCTGTGGTTCGAAGGCTGGAACATAGCATAGATGATGAAGAGACTTGATATTTGTCTCCCATTTGGCATATGATTCTGTGTGCCCATGTCATCCATCCGATCTCATTGGAGCTTGGAGGAGAGGAGAGTCTCTTTTTTGTTTATGGAGACTCAAAATACCATAAAAAAAGTCAGCAGGTGGTGGCCTAAGGAAGCATAGCCAGATGATCATCGTGTCAGGAGCAGCCATGTAGATCATCAAACCAAACCACAGCATCTAATCTTACAAGTCAGGAGGTGGATGCAGTCCAGAGGTGAGATGGCTGGTCCAACACCACAGAAAGTAGGAGCAGAGAGGGAACCAGACACGGACCAGCCCGTGCTATATATTAGGGTTATTTTGATGTCAGCACTATTGATTTTAGGCAGAATAATTATTTGTTTTAGGGACCTGTGCTGTGCATTGTAGGAGGTTTAGCAGCCCCCCTGACTTCTACTCACTAATTGCCGGTAGCATTACTCTGCTCAGTTGTGGTCATCAAAAGTGTCTTCAGACATTGCTAAGTGTCCCCTGGGGGACTAAACAACCCCCAAACCCACTGATCACCAGGGACTTGGAGCTCAGCTCTTCCCTTGCAGTTTGGGAGGGAAATAATTTCTGGTTGCTAAGAAAAGAAAGTCTTTCCTCCCAACCCCTGATCACTTTGGGAGAATTCTGCTGGGGTCC